TTTAAAAGTCTGTTAAAGAATAAGGATTGAAATTACAAGATGGCGTTGCAATGAGTTCTACAAGTGACATAGGATAAAAGACAATGTTTCACTTTTGTGCTGGCCAAAAAAAAAAAATATTTGTGTGCCAAAAAGATGGTTATTCCCTTGACACCTTTATTATTCTTTACACTTTTGGCCCCTTAGGTAAGTTTGTTTCAAAAAGTAAAGTTTAGAATTTTAATAAAACCCAAATATATGAAAGTGGATTTATATATTTTCTTTATTCTTGAGATTTGAAAAAAATAATTCATTAATATTTTTATAAAATGACGAATAAAAAATTTGTTTTTGAGGTTATTTATAAAATGGTAAATAATGAATATTGCATTGTAGCTAGTTTACATATCTTGATAATTTTATAATTATAAAAAATTTCATTTCAAATTTATTTCTTTATGAAATGATAATAAATATTACATTGTATTTGGTTTACATACTTTCATAACCTTGTAAATAAACTTTGCTGAGGGAGTCAAAAGTGTATAATACAGTAATAGTGGTGTCAAGGGAATAACCATCCTTTTGACACAATGTTTTTTTTTGCATGCATGAAGGTTAAACATTGCTAGATAAATAATAAGAGAAGAAAAATTTAATAAGAATGAAATTAAGTGAAATTTTGAAATGTAAAAGAAAAATACAAGACAAAAAAAGAACACTTCTTTGAATATTTTCAATGAAAAAAGGAGGCCGACCATAGTAAAGACCATAGACTCAATATGAATTGCACAATCTTTTCCTTAGTTACATAGCATCTGCTTTGCAAGGGCTACATACAGTTTTAGAATTCAAAGTTGCCCTTCCCTTAGACCAGCTACCAACCAAGACTGAAAAACCCAGTTTATTCTGCTATATAATCCAGAGTTGTGCAAAGAAGAGGTGCATGCATACCTTTTCCAAGGGTATTTGCGTGTAAGTGAATTCGATGAAGAATGTATTGAAGCCATCTTGTTATTATTAATTTTTAACTCACTTTTTTTTTTACATGTTTTCACATACTAATAAACATATAAAGTTATTTCAGTTTCGTTATAGAAAGTAATGTCATTATTATTATTATTATTATTTTACTAGTTTTTCTAGTAAAAATGAATCAAAAACACAATATAGGTTTAGTAATGATTATAGAATGATGATGATACTAGACTGAAGAAAATGTGTTTTGTCAGGCTATCTTGCCTTTAGACATATCATTGTTGCTATGGCTACACTACATGTGGTGCGCCTACGAACCTAATGACATGCAGGACTCATGATGGGATAAAAATATGTTAAGAATGCGCAGGTGGGTGAGCGTATGTGTGTGGGTGATTTGCAAATGAACTGAGTTTAGTATTCACAGAAATGGTGAAAAAAAAATTCGTCAAGGGAGATAACTACGAAATACTAATTACAGAGTATAATCTCTTATTTATTTACTTATTGCATTATTAATGATTTATTATTTATTTACTTATTTATTTATAATTTATTATTTATATTTATTTATTATTTATTTATTTGTATTTATTTTATTTTATTTATTTATTTATAATTTATTATTTATTTACTTATTTATTTATTGCAAAAATGAAAAAAACAATAAAATAGAGACAACAATGTAAATATTGATAACTCCTCATCCCCAAAATTCAGAAAGACAAAAAAAAGTAGAAAAATCAAAGTGCAAAAAAAAAAAATCGAAAACAAAACACCCTCCCATTTTGCACATTCCTGCAAAAAGTTCTAGAAAATGCCAAGTGCAACTACACATGAGCAGTCCAGACCAAGGTAGAAAAGAAACAAATTGGATCCCGTAAACTCTGGAAGATCACCAACCAAATCCTGAACAGAGGTAAAGTGGTTGTGCCCACAATTATAAATGGCCCCAAGGTCATATCCTCCTTGACAGATAAGGAAGACCTCTTTGCCTCCATCTTTATTAGATGACAAAGACCACCTCCTCCCTAAGTTCCCACATCTCACTGAGCACAATCTCAGTAATATTAGCATCACAGCACCAGACTTATCAAAGGCCTTGGCCCTAAGAAAGCCACTGGTCCAGACAAAATTCTAGTGGTTGTCCTTAAAAACATCAAACTGGAATTATAACCCAATCCCTGCAAAGTTATTCAGCCACTGCTTGAAGGAGAAGTCCTTCCCAAGCCTGTGGAAAGTGTTAAGCATATGCCCGGTTTTCAAGATTCCGGGCGTGCAATCATCTCCCTCCCATTACAGACCCATCGGTCTCCACAGTATCATCAGCAAACTTTTTGAGGCCATAATCAATAAGAGGGTCATCGAGCACCTAGGAAAAAACAAACTCTTCAGCAACAAGCAGTATGGGTTCCGGTCAGCCCGCTCCACTGCTGATGTCCTAATTTCCATCGCTCACAGAATCAGTGAGGCTCTTGTCAATAAACACACCTCGAGGGCCATAGCACTAGATATCTCAAAAGCCTTTGACAAGGTGTGGCACAAGGGCTTACTACACAAGATCTCCAGTTATGGAATCACTGGAAGGGTCTTTTTGATCATAAAATACTTCCTAACAGGTAGGTCCATGAAGGTAGTTATCAATGGCCAGTCCTCTGGAGCCCTAGAGGCCAACACAGGCAACCCCAGGGGTCACTCCTCAGACCAACCCTCTTTTTGATTATCATAAATGATGTGCAGACAAAGTTGACCGCAAACTACCACCAATCAGGATGAAAGGAGGTCCTCTCGGGGAAACACTGTGCCTTGAAAGACTGTTTGGCCTCAAACTTACACCTGACAAAGTGGAACTCATACATACGATCCGTTGCTAAGGATGCAGGTAAAATGGTTGGCTCTCTGTGCCGCTCCAGTAATTACCTGACTCCTCCTGGTATCCTCTACCTTTATATGAGCCAGATCAGGCCAAAAAGTAGAAAAATCTAAGTGCAAAAAAAAAAGACCCCCCCCATTTTGCACAACACTGTAATTGCTGCAAAAAAGTTCTAGAAAATGCCAAGTGCAGTTATGCACGAGCAGTCCAGACCAAGGTTGAAAAGAAACAAATTGGGTCCCGCACTGTTATCATATTTGAGTGGGTGCTGCCCAGACCTCACTCCCCAGCTTTGATAGAGCTCAAAATTGTCTCCAAGCACTTTTGTATGACAAATTATTCTCCACCCTTCAACTGCTATCCCACAGGCAGGAGCCTCTTGCTGCTCTGCTGGTACTTCCATGGAAGGTACTCAGATGAACTACATTTCCTGGCCCCACTGAGGCAAACTTTCACAGCAAGAACATGCCATGCCATTTACACAGTAGCAAACTACCCACATTCCCTCTGTATTCGATTGGTGAGAAGTTCCACTTGAGCAACTTCTTCCTGTGAACCACTGCCCTGTGGAACTGACTCCTAACAAGATGTTTCACTGATTGCTACAATCTTAACCCATTCAAGGCCAGGGTTAACCATTATCTTCCACTGCTATACACACAAATGACCCCAAATGTAAACTACCTCCAGTGGTCTTGTAAAGGTTAAACCTCGCTGTTAAAAAAAAAAAAAAAAAAAAAAAATAAAGATATGCAAGAGCAATTTAGATGATAATCTTTTTTTCTATGCAAGAGAGCATTTTAGACGATAATCTTTTTTTCTATGCAAGAGAGCATTTTAGACGATAATCTTTTTTTCTATGCAAGAGAGCATTTTAGACGATAATCTTTTTTTCTATGCAAGAGAGCATTTTAGACGATAATCTTTTTTTCTATGCAAGAGAGCATTTTAGACGATAATCTTTTTTTCTATGCAAGAGAGCATTTTAGATGATAATCTTTTTTTCTATCACAAAGAATGTCTCAAAGTAAGTATCAGGACCATTGCTATGTTAATGTATCTAAAGTACACAGAGTGAAACAACTTGGAACATATTAACTTTAAACTCTGCTGTGAATTACACACTAAGTTATAATGTTGTTGCTTATTTCCATTGTTTAGAGTTGGAACCAAAGTGCATAGTATGTGGTTGTCTCACTGCACTATAGAGGTTCCATCAGTGACAATGGTTTGTGCAGCAGTTTTCAGCCAATTACAACATTCCCCAGATCTGACATCCACCATATTCCCCAGATCTCACTTCTTGTGACATTTTTCTCTTCAAAAATCCAATTCTACTTGAAAGGAACAAGATGCCAAGGAAATCCAAGAGAATATGATGAGGCAGCTGCTTTCTATCCCCAAACGGAATTCCAGTAATGCTTTCATCAATGAAAATGATGCTGTATGAAATCAGAAGAGGACTACTTTGAAGGAGATTAAATGCTGAATTGTTATACGTTGTAGTATTTTTTTTTTATAGCATCAGTCCAGTTACTTTTTGGTCATACCTCCTATAATTAGAAATTGACTTGATACAGAGCTTAATGACAAATTTTGGAAGCTTACGCAAGAGTGAATAATACAAGACTGACCATAAGGGATGAGACAGGTTGCGTACAAATTGTATGAAGTCGTTGTCCTCCATCTGTGCTAACAACAATAAGGCCAGAACCCATCCATACTCGATTGACATTGCCATAATGCTGCTCATTAAATACTCTATCAATGTCCTGAAATGAAAAGAAAAAAAGGGTACAATAGAAATGGGCATGCTAATGGGAGACACTTTAAATAAAAATAACAATTATATTTGACTGCATAAAAGGTACATGCACTCCTTTTTAGCAGAGCATATTCAGGAAAAAAGGTTTTAATACTTTAATGTATAAAGCAAGCAATCAGTACATGACAAAACATTTCAAAAGCCTATTAGCTATAACAGAAAACATTACTGTATATAAAAAGCAAGCTAGCAGTACAGTTGAACATAAAGCAAAAAGTCATTATAGTAAAAAATTTCTACATGATTACAGTAATAAAACAAGAAAAAAAAACAAAATAGAAAAAGATTTTATAGAAAACAAACTACCATTACAATTGAACATAAACTAGGTATTTACTAAGACAAGGTGTGACACAAGGTCTTTTTTAAGGTGGGGGACCTGAGTGTGTATACCCAGGCAAGAAACAAAACTTGCCTGCAGCCCCTGCAATCGTCAGTTGCACTGGCCTTGGTGCAAGCACCAATCCCTCTCTCTAAACTAGGTATTTACACTGTCTCCCCACTAAGATGAGGTGTGACACAGGGTCTTTTTTAAGGTGGGGACCTGAGCGTGTATATCCAGGCAAGGAACAAAAATTGCCTGCAGCCCCTGCAATCATCAGTTGCACTGGCCTTGGTGCCAATCCCTCTCTCTGGTGCAAAAAAAACAGCATGGCTTTGGGCATCTGTTCCCCAGGGCTGGGCACCTCTTAGTATAATTTTCATCAGTTGTGACAGAGTTGCCCAAAGACAGAGATGCAACTGAGAGATGATAAGTAATGTGTTACAAACCACTCATGAGAATGGTTTGAACATAAACTAAATCACAGATACTCAAGTTAGAAACTGCTTTCCAAGGAGGACAAGAATTATTGTAATGTTTGTCTCAAATCGATTCAAGCTTAAAAACTTCCCGCTAACTTGGAGCATGTGCATGTAAATTTTGGTGTAAATCCGTCGAAAATTGCGACCATACATTCGTTACACACACACACACATCCTGCCTTTTATAGATAGAGATAGATGCTTCACAAACATTAAGTTATAGAAAAGCTGACCCAGTTGAATCAGTGTCTTTCAGCTTAATATTTCAATTCTCTAGAGAACTTGTTGTACAATGATAATTCCAATTCTAGACTTTCAAATCATTACAAATGAGTTTATTCCTTCTTAGGTGCTTAAAAAAAATAAAGAGCATCATTAGCACTAAGCCAGTGTACCCCAGCTGTACCTCATGATATCAGCTAACTTTTTAGTCTTCTGTCATAGTGTAAGAATGGCTGATGAAAATGAAACCTAATCATAGATTTCCAATTTTTTTTCTAGCTTTTTCCCTCAATGTTCATGAACCTATTCATCATCCTGCATTATTACTATTAAGCCAGAGCACCCCAACTGTATCTTATCAGTTGACTTGTTCTGAAAGAGAGAGATAAATATTAATAGATTCCTCAGAATTCCCAAATCTACATTTCCTTGTTCTTTGTCCATAAAGTTGTCTTTTGTTTTATACACTAAAGAATTGTTTCATCTTTTTCATTATTTGTTATCCCAGCTTGCATGCTTTTCGCTTTCTCACTCTTTTTCTCTTCTGACCTCCTTTCAAAATTCTCCTGCTGCTGAGGGTGAGGGAAGTACAGTAATGTCAGTCATGGCTTTCCACACAACCAAGTTTCAATGTAGTTTAGGAAATTGCTGTGAAGGGCTTGAACAAACACATAAAGGGAATTTTTATGTTGTGGCTGTATGATCAAATTCCAGATAATAATTGGCTGTTGTCTTGAAGTGGTTAAAACTGTAGTATTCAAGGAAGTATCCAGGCTGGAGCAGTTCATGAGAAAAAGCTGAGTGGAACTTTCTCCTTACATTTGGTTTGGTTGTTTTTTTGTTTTGTTTTTCAGCAGCATATCAACCCATTTCGGTTATTTTAAGAATTTATGGTATGTCTGCAATTTTACTATAAAATGGATTACCATTTCGCTATAAAAATGTATTGTTGGTAATTTTTTTAATACAAATGTATTGCTGATAATTTTTTTAATATAAAATGTATTGCTGGTATTTTTACTATAAAAATGTATTTTTATACTTTTCTAGTGTTTTGATTTTTGTAGGGTGGGGTGGCCAACAGGTGCTCCACTCCAGGTCATCAGAGTTGACCAACAGCAATTAAAAGGTGGTTCCACGTTCCTCAAAACCTCCAATCTTCCAATAAGAGGCCTTGCTGCCAGATGTAGTTTGTTGTCATACCCAGGATTACTCAAGAGGTCATCCCCCCTGAAGAAGTGCAGTCAGTGTATTCTACAGCCCCAGTAGACAGGGTGGCCTTATATTTTGGTATACGGAGACAATGAGGGTGATTCGACTCTGAGGAAATAGCATGGCGTGTCCTACCAAAATAAATTTCATTTATTTTTTCCGTACGGTTTTTATGTTCTGGGAAGCATGGTATTCTGTTCCACAAAATAGCAGTTCATGGCGGGGGGGGGGAGATGTAGGACTGGAATTTTCGCCTACAAGATCCCAGAAGGCGAGTGGGGAATAATACTTGTTTGGACCACTCGGAATATTTTCCGTAAATAACTATTCCTAGGATGAGAGTAATTCTTGGTTATAGCAGCATTTTGGTTCCAGAGGTTTACACTATTTTCCTTTTTAATTCGAGTTACTGCTGCAAATGATTTCTGCGTAATAGTAATAAAAAGAAACGCAGCATTTATCTCTGGAGGGTTCAAAAAGCAAAACAAAAAGATTAACGTTAAAAAAATAATAAGTAATATAACGGAAGTAAATCAGTATTTTATAGAAATCGTTTGAAGCGCTAAACTTAATAATACCCATAACTTTCTACATAAAAAAAAGCTGTCAAACTTCACCCCAAGAATATAAATATTTAAATACGCTAGTTTACTTTAAATAAAATGATCATTTTCAACAAAAATTACAAGTTGAATTTGTTCGAATGAATACAACAACGTATAATTTTGTTGACAATTTTAAAAATATAGAAAAAATTTTCTTTTTAAATAAATGATATCGGTAGTTATTGTAGATCCTAGTTAAAAAAAAAAAAAAAAAGATTTAAAAAAAGACGTGATATTTTTCTTTTTTTAAATTAAAATTTGTGTTTTTTGTGTTTAGAATCGATTTCATTTTCATTTCATTCCATTGAATGAAATAGAAAGAAATATCAATAAATTCATTTATAAAAATATCTTAAAAGTCAAATTTTACCTCTTTCCGAAAGGCAGGGAATACTTTCCACAAAGGCTCCAAAAACAACATTTTATTTCATTGTATTTTCCATTAAAAAGAAAAATAACAACAAATTCTTTTTTCTGACAGCAGAAGCCATTACCAACATTGAAACAAGCACATGACACCCGGGATTACTATTGTTATCATCAAAATTATATATATATAAAAAAAATCGAACAAAGAAAAAATTGAGTTTAGATTTTAGAATTAATTAAAACATGATTCATGAATTCTAAATAAGATTATTTCATAACTTTTATTGCTTTTGTCGATAAGATATGATTTGTTATTGCGCCGTATCGAAGGAAGGTTATTTTCTAGTAATCGGCAAAGTTCAAATATTGACTGCGGGATGATCATGTAAACAATCATGACAGAAGACGGTATGTTCAGAAACTTTTCGGGAACTTAATTTCAAATATATTTTTTAAAAGTGTAAATTTAAAAGGAGACTTATATTATGTGTGAAAACGTTTATATTTTAATATGTTTAATTTATTCTTACCAGTTTTTTTTTTTTTTAAATAACTGTTATTGTAAAAAAAAAAAGAAAGAAAAAGTTTTTAAAAATTATTTTATTATTTAGTTTAAAAAAAAGTTTTTTTTTCATAAGATATACAAATATTTCAATTTGTATTTTAGAAACATAATTCCGTAAAATATTTGCATTTTAGAGTATTTTTTTTTAATTTTTAGAAATAATCTTCTTTTCCAAACTGTTTCATTTAAACTTCTTTACAAAAGTTGAGTTTTAAATTATTTTGCATTACATTTTATTTAATTAAAATCACGTAGCTAATGCTTAATTAATATTTTAATTTAATTAATAATAAACTACATGAAGAGTGAAGATAACCTTCCACCAGAAAGAATTCTTAATTTCGTCTTCGATAAAGTCCCAATTTAATCAGTAATAATTCAATTGTATGTCGTCTTAAAAAGCAAAACAAACTGTTTGAGTTCACTTGTTAGTGTTTGTTATAGTGTTTTCTTTTATACTATAACAAAAAAACCCATCTTCTTACAAATAGAATTGCCATAGGTTCATGTAAAAAAAGTCTACTGAAAAGAAAAAAAAAATGACAACAAAAATTGCATTAAGCTTTTAAGTTAATTATTCTTAGATTAGGGTTTTTTTTAAAACTTAAAAAAAATAATATATATTTGCACTCGGAAAAAGTGCCCTCAACTTTATGGTTAATTTAATTAACCTATCATTTAAATTAATTATTATCTTATCCCATTATTCGGCCAAAAGTTCTCATCTTTGTTGTTCACAGCGGCCTTCATCAGGTGCTTGTCGATCCGACCTTTCTTTAGGGAATTTCGACCTGAACCCTTTCTACTGGGATAGAGAGAGTATATCTCGTCTACTTTTTAATATTTAGTAGTACTTTTACAGTCTTTGTATTTAGTACAGAGTACACTTCTTAAGACTTAGTTTTTGCTCGCTCTTGTTTCCACCTAGTCAGCACTATCCAAACATAGGATTGAACTCTCAACTACTACGCCTTATGATAATAAAAAGATGAAGACAATAATAGTCCGAGAATGATACTCCATCCTAGAAATTCAGACAAAAAATAATTTGAAGTATTTTTTTGTGTGTGTGTATTTTTAGCTTAAGGTTTACCGTTTATTACACTTAAACATTTGAATTTATTTCTTTTCCCTTTATATAAGTTTTTAAACTTTTAAATTTAATTAAAAAATGTTACAAACTTGGAGCCATTTAAAGTAAAGATGTAACTTTGAAATTATTTTCAATTTTACACCCTATTGCATCCATCGAGTATATAGTCAATTTCGGTGTTTCGAACGACTTAAGCAGAAATCACGAATTTACCTCCCTTATATTAAACAATTTTTTTTATTGATCAATTGACTCATATTCCGAGCTCGCATTTGTATTTAAAAAGTCATGAATTTGAAATACCATACAATTTATTTCAACTATTTTTTTTTTTTTTTTTTTTGTAAGTGAAAACTGAAATTCAGCATTCAATAAATCTTCGAATTTGAAAAGCAAAAATCTGATTCTGAACTTCTGCACCTGATCTCTAAAATTTTATTGAATAGGAGTAGATAAGTTCGCCAATTGTCCGGTTCACATTCCTCTCTGGTCTTTCAAACAGGAGTAGAGGTTTATCCTTTGTTTTCTGTTCAGGATTCAGTTTCTGGTTTCTTCTAATATCTGCTTCAGCTCTGTACTCTTAATGCTTGTCATTTCTTATACTAATCTTACATGACTCCACACAATAACACTCTGCCTTGAGTGGCTATTGGGCCTTGTGTTGGGTGAACAAAAGTAAAAAAAAGCAAAGAAAAAAGAAAAGGGATCAAGATTCAATCTGCGTAAGAAATAAAAGGAAAAGTATCGCAGACTTGCTAACTTTCTGAATTCATTAATGGGGAGATTTCCTCAGTCATGGCACCATCATTGTTGATGAGAGGGAAAATGTTTTTATTTTACTCTTCCTAGATTTTTTGTGGTTTTTCCCATAGTTATTTTTTATATTTTTTCATACAATGTAGGATATGGATGAAAAAAAATCCCTCATGAAAGGAGTGGGGGAGATGCTAAGAACCAAAATGAATGATCTGTTTGCCAAATACAGGAAACTCAGTAGTGTTAATCAGGGATGTTCGATTTAAATCAAACTGATTTAAGTCAAATGACTTTTTTTAAAAAATCACTGCTTTAAATTGTAGAGGACCGGGGGGGTAAAGATGAAAAGAAAATGCTTGCATTTAAATTTCCTGCTAGAAGAAGGTCCAGCTATAAGAGAATGTTGAATTTGAATTAAGTCCAACTGAAGATAAAGAAGACAAACAAGACCAATATATATATATATATATAAATATATGTATTAACAACAAATTACGAAGCACATAGTTAACATTGTGTGTGAATATTTGTGTTTGTTCTTTGGTGAATGTTCATATTTTGGAAAAGTTCATAAGAGTTTGTATGTACGTGAATGCGTGAAATATTATTTAACGTCTGTCTGCAAAGTTGAGACGATAATTCTCTGGGACTACATTTTGCAACAAGAAGAGAGAAAAAAAAAGAAAAAGGCAAACTCGTGTTTGCTATTTATAGATAATGTAATCACATGACAGGTTCAAAAGAACTCGGCAGGAAACTTGACTTAGTCATGTGCTGGAAAAATATATTGTGCGTGGGTGGATTGCAATGCCCACTTGTGCGTTTATTGACCAATTAGAAGCTGATATTTCCTGACAATAAGCTTTTACTAAGCTGAGAAGGCTCTTGGGTTCCGATTCAAAAGTGCACAAAATCGACTACATGAAAATATAGCGATTATAAAATTGTCGCATAGCTTGATTTATAAATTGTCCATTACACAGTAGTATTGATTTGTTATCCAATGAATCCTTGTTGTTGTATAATTTGAATTTGTGTAAATATGTATGTTTATGTGTGATGATGATCATGACAAAATCAATTTTACAAAAATCTTTATTTAAAGCAAAAGATTTAGAAATAAAACACATTTTTTTTGTCTTCATTTAATTTTATGAAGAAAGAAGTGTTCAGCAATATTTATTAATCAACCGAATAATTTTTTATTTTGCTATAAAATAAAATTTTAACCATTAACAAATTTTAAAATTCAACATGAGCAGTGTTTGCATTCATAGATTTAAATGTTTTGCCGCTTTATCTGTACCAAGGTAGTTTCTCAGTTTGGAATACACCAGAGTTTATAGGACAAGAAAACTCATTCATTGCCAGAAGATGAGGGCACTGCTGGGAGGAATTGCTTAACTGCAGAAAGTATATCATTGCTCAACACACTTTCAAATTTCAAAATTAAAAAGAAACACTGACAAAAATTGAAAAATTCAGATCTCAGTTTAAAAGAACAAAACTGGCTGGCAAACTACACATAATAAAAAAATGACAAGATTATTTATGTTCAAATCAATTATACATAGCTGATGATCACTGTGTCAATCTGTTATTTTAAAATGCTGTACAAATAAAATAGTTGTATTCTCTTAACTGAAAAAAAAAAATTAATGAAAACAAGACTAAGTTAAATGCAGATACACTAAAAACCTTAAAAAATGGTAAAAATTAAATGTAGATTTTTATCAACTAAATTGTGAAAAAGTCAGCCAGATATAACCAAAAATTGTTAATTTGGCAATCTTGAATTATCCTACTATCTTAATCTCTCCAGTTATTCGTATCAGCTTTGCTCTTTCTTTTCCTTTTTTTATGTGTGTTGTGACCAAGTAAATGGTTAAAGAAATAACAAAACAAGTGTTGCGGATATATCATATATTAAACAGTAAGTACAACTGAAGAGTATTACACAACTAGTGAGTATGTGTTGGTTGACCCAGTGTTCAATCTGTTTGACTGTTATATTTAACAGCTCCCCCACATGGGATGTATGTAGCACAAGGCTGAGTTTACCGTGGGTTCTTCGAGTCCATAGGCTCGGCCAAAAATATTCCCTTAGAGCCAGCATAAACGGGTTCAGGGCCTGTCTATCTTTACACTTCAGCAAAGACTCGTCCGGGTTCCTCTCTGCTCAAGGCAGAGAGTTCGACAGAAGAACAATTTGGTTGACTGTTCCCCCAAGGCCTTCTCTCCTACTAATCTTATAGTAGGCAGAAGAGTCCAACAGTGACTCTTTAGAGGGAGGACACCACAACAATGTGCAAAAATGTAAAAAAATTTTAAAAATCCGATTTAAATAAAATAAAAATCTGATTTAAAAAAAAACAATCAACAACCCTGGTGTTAATTCTGTCTGAAAATACTATATGAAGAGATGACTTGAGGCAATAGATGGTCAACAGAAGGATGTTGGGAATACCATGGATGGAACATGTAAGCAATAAGGAAGTTTTAAAGAAAATAAGAACATAAGGACACTTGTACTTAGAATTAGAAAAAGATAGTTCAGGTTTCTGGGACATCTAATGAGGAAAGAGGATTTGGAGAATTTGACACTAACAAGACATAATGAAGGTAAGAGAAAAACTGGGAAACAAAGAGTAACCTACCTAACAAGTTTTTGTAAATGGATGGCAGAACAGGGCCTGGGAAGTATAGTGAAAAAAACAAACATTGCTAAGAGCTACAAAGGTTAGGAAGTTGTGGAGAGCCATGATCTCTCATATCCAGAAGGGTCACAGTGCATAAAAAAGAAGAAGCATAGGTAAAGATGATTTTCCACCTCTTATTTGAAAAAAATGACAATATTTTGAAGATGCCACCATTTTTTTTTCTTCAATCATTTCACCCCAAGCAAAGCAATAAAGCCACTAAGATGTGAAGGGTTACTAATTGTTAGAGAATATGAGAAAACAAGAATGCTATTAAGGAGCGAGAACAATAAAAGAACAAGAATTAAGAAGACAGAAGATAACGATTGATATTGCATTTAAGTTTTTGAAGATCAAAGTTGACTGGAAAACAAGAAGTTGGAAGAAAGTTCTGCAAGTGAAATAGAAGACATTGTTAGCATAGAACATTTCACATCTAGCCATTTCAACTGTAAGATCATGAGAACTTGATACCAATCTAGTACTGTGCTTAAATTCATAAAGTCAAGTCTATAGAGCAAAGTTTATCAGTTTAATTATCATGAAAAATATAGAAAAGGCACAGGGAGGCTACATTATGGTGGTGGGGAAAGTGACTGAAGCTGAGATGCCAGGTCAGGACCAATAACATCACAGATTTTTCTTTGGATTTTATCAGAATCTCAAAATATATAACAAGCAGACCAGATGTGGGAGCAATATTCAAAGCAAAGATGGTTATATATATTTAAATGACTAAAATTTGCACTCAAAACTACTTATATTTATTTTTTATTTTAAATTCTGGGACTTACTGTTCACAAAGGCTGAATTAGATTTTTCACTTATGGAAAAAATAGCTGAAATAATTTATTGCATTTCAAATGTTATTTTTCATTTTATTCTTGAATGCATAACTTTTAATATCCAAAAGTGTATTTATGTGTTTCAAGAAATTTTTTGTATTATATAAGGGAGATAAATTAGTGTTTTGTATGTAAAAAATAATTTAAAATGTTGAAATGAACTATAAAATGTCTGTAGCAGTCAAACTCGTTTGGTCAAAGAGGTTACTTTAAAGATGTTATTTTTATATTTTTACCTTTTTGATTCCAGTATAAATAGAACTTATATTTACCTTTTCACTTCTTGTGCAAATCAGACCTATGTCTATCTTTTCAACTCTTATGGAAATCAAACCCATGTCTATCTTTTTGCCTCTTCAGTGAATCAGATCCATATCAATCCTCTCACTTCTCGTGCAAACCAGACACATGTCTGCCTTTTCACCTTTTGTGCAAATCATGTCTTAAAGGATTTTTTTATTTATTAAAAACCCCCTACGAAAAATTAGTTCAAACAAATGTTTGAGGTAACATTTAATTTATATAGGCACACAACCAAAACAGACAACACAAGCTGAATTTAGGAAAAATGATAAATTTATTGTTAATATGCAAAATAATGAATGAATTACACAAATTAAGTGCATTGTGTGTCAAATGATGGCCAATAAAATGTATGTAAAAATAATCAATGAAAATGAAATATGCCCTGAATAAAAATTATAATGCTGCATAAGGTCCTCAGAAAAGAAAACTACATATAAATGAAGAAAGGAGAAAATACTTCTCTGGATAGTTTTCAAAGAGTTTGACATGCAATGATAACAGCAAAAATTGCAATATGAGCACTGGTAAAAATGATGCTGAAAACATTAGGTTTATAATACTCAGAAGTTCGTACCCAGATGTCCTCAAGGACACATGGCACAGTGGATAAAGGCGTTGGTTAGATCCAGTGACAGACCCAAAGAAGGTGAGTTCAATTCCTGGTTAAGGCAGTGGAGAACTTTCAGAGGGAAAATTAGCAGGAGATAACTGATAACTGACATCAAACATGGCACGTGGAATTAGAACAGTCTACCCCAGCGATCGAAATAAAGGGTCCAGTTCGAAATTCCAACCACCTGAAGAAACGTTGTGACAAATATGGTGACAAAGATGAGGACAATAGTCCGACTAATGTAAATACAGTTTTCAAAGAATTGGTAACAATCATACAGCCAAAGACTTTTCCTTGATGTGGGAGCAATTTTGATGTTCTTTTCAATTCTCGTCTGGTGGTTGTCAAACTTCTGTATTGCTTCTCTTTCTGGCCCAGATCTGTTCATTGACTCAAATTAACTCCTTTTATTACCTACAGGTAGGCTCCAAATTCACTTCTTACAATTTGGAGGGAAACCTTTTGATTGGTTCTGAATGAAAAAACAAATGCAGCTGTTTTCCACAAATCAAAATGTACAAAAATACTTTTGAAATTCAAAAATCAACCAAGAGCACAATGCAACATCTGCTTTCTCTTAGAAAAGCAGGAGATACAAGCTGAATCAGCTTAAATTTCTTATAGTCGACCTTTTTGCCTTTTGTGCAAATCAGACCCATGTCTACCTTTTTTTGCCTTTTGTGCAAATCAGACCCATGTCTACCTTTTTTTGCCTTTTGTGCAAATCAGACCCATGTCTACCTTTTTTTGCCTCTTGTGCAAATCAGACCCATGTCTACCTTTTTTTGCCTTTTGTGCAAATCAGACCCATGTCTACCTTTTTTTGCCTCTTGGGCAAATCAGACCCATGTCTACCTCTTGGGCAAATTTTCTACCTTTTTTTTCTTTGGGCAAATCAGACCCATGTCTACCTTTTTTTGCCTCTTGGGCAAATCAGACCCATGTCTACCTTTTTTTGCCTCTTGGGCAAATCAGACCCATGTCTACCTTTTTTTGCCTCTTGGGCAAATCAGACCCATGTCTACCTTTTTTTTGCCTCTTGGTCAAATCAGACCCATATCTTCCCTTTCACCTTTTGCACAAATCAATCCCATGTCTACCCTTTTGACTCTTATGCAAATGATACCTATGTCTTCCTTTTTGACTCTAGCATAAATACGACATTACGTAATTTGTGATTTTTGTCCAGACTTATATTACGTTTTAAATAACTCAACAAGGTTTGAAATGTTCTTAAATTAACCAACTTTGCCTTGACTGCTCTTAACGATGGATCCATGCAAATCACAATTGGATGATGCATCATTGGAATTTGAATGCATTTTAATTTTTCTTTATATTTCAGAGGACGGAGATGATATCACTGCTCAGAGCAGAGCTCGGTTTCAACAACTTCTACAGGAAAATGTGGAAATTCCTTCCAGGTTAGTATACGTTTCATTTTGTTTAAATTACTTTCATTTTGAATGTTTTGGTGTTAATTTAGATGCTTATTGACTAAGGACATGTTTGAATGGGATTTTCAATTATATTTGATTAGTTTTCTTTTTTATTTGCATTAGTTACAGTCGGACCAATATGTTTGTCATTGTGCTCTCCACACTTCTGCAGGTGTCTGTCTGATCCGAGAAAATCTAGTAGTGTTTGGGGAAGCATCCATATTGAAGTCTCTTCCACAAAATAGGGGTTCTTTGCAAAAAGCTATTTGAATGGAAGATCCTTCTTACCAATGGAATATGCAGGGAATGAGGGTGATCCAGCTCTATGGACATAGGAAGGTGGGTCTTGGTCGTAAAGGTCTGAACTGGTGACACAAAAGAATGGAGTTTGTTTATACATTTGGTGTGGAAATAGTGATAGGTTTGGAATGTTGTGTCTGTAGGAAAATGGCTGTAGAATGGAATATAACCCCCACCATGGCTGCATATATTGTTATTGCCAAAAATCTGAACTATGACCAAATAATTGATTAAATCAGGATTTCCCAAAAGTGAAGATAAATCATATCCATGAATAAGTAATACTGCCCTGGGCACCAGCCATTAGGTTTTAATAAAGGCAGTAGAGATTTTGGTCAGATGTGTGGGTAGTGTAATGGCTATCAGCATTGAAAGTGAAATCAGCAATCCGTGTTCAAATTCCAGCCTAACCAGTTTTATTTCACATTGCACTAATGCCCTTTAGGAAATGAATCCATTTATTGGTTAAATAGAAGGGTAGACAGGGCTCTTAAAACTTGGGATGGAGGGTAACCAGTTTGAGAAAACTACTACTCTGAATTCAAACCTGTGGAGAAGGCAATGTGCAACCATTTCCCTATTTTTCCCAAGATGTCATGACAATTCATGGATAATAAAGGAAAGGAATCAGTGGAGACATAATCACCTACATCCTGCAGAGATAATAATTTAATACAGTGTAACCCGGATATAAGAGAAACCCAGATATAAGAGAGATTTTCTCTGGTCCTAAATTAGAGCCTGTGTTAATGTATATAAATTAGACCAAACCCGGATATAAGAGAGATTTTCTCTGGTCCCAAATTAGAGCCTGTGTTAATGTATATAAAATAGACCAAACCCGGATATAAGAGAAACCCGGATATAAGATACTTCTTCTCCGGTCCTGACAACTATCTTATATCCGGGTTACACTGTATTTATAACATTCTAAAAACTAATACAATTGTATTAAAATTAATGCAATGCAATATTTATCAATTATGTAGTTATAAAGAAATAAATGTGAAAACAATTTTTTATTCATAAATTTATAAACATTTACTAAATTATTAAAATATGTGAACCGACTATAAGGAAATCCTTATTATTTACCATTTTATAAAGTTCTAATTGATTGGCAATTAGTCAATGTTTTGCCAACCATTCAAATAAACAATATAATAGTGTGAATAATGAATTTAATAGGGTTCATTATTTTTTATTAGAAAATGTATAAATTCACTTTCCTCATATATTTAGGTTTTATTCCAATTCTGATCATTGCTTTTTGAAACAATAAACATTTTCGAAAAGTGAAGGTAGTTAAAATTATAGTGGCGTCAAGGGAAAAACTGTCCGTTTTGACAATCCATTTTTTTGCTCAATTTGTTTATAGAAAAGGCACAGGGAAACTACATTATAGTGGTGGGAAAGTGACTGTAGCTGATATGCCAGGTCAGGACTAATGGCATTGCAGTTTCTCCTTTGGATTTTATCAAAAAATATCAGAAAATTTAATGTGATAATATTATTGTTGTGATCTGATACTGACATATTTATTATTGACATACTTTTTTTATATTTACAGGGAAACAAAAAAGAAAAAGAAAAAAATGAAACCCTCAATGTCGACTGAAGAATCAGTGGTAAGACTATTTGCGTTTTTATGTTTGGAATTATCGAAATATGTCTGATAACCTTTTGGAACTTATATAAATAACAATATATATGACCATAAGAGAGGCAGACTTCAAACAAAATGAAATTTGTGATTTTTTTTTTTTTTTTTTTTTTTAATCATTTCACCCCAAGGAAGGCAATAAAGCCACTAGGACACAAGTGGTTACTGAGAATATGAGAAAAACTACTATTAAGAAGAGAGGAGAATAAAAGAATAAGACAGAAGATAATGATTGATATTGTATTTAAATTTTTGAAGATTAAAATTAACTTGGAAGGAAGAAGCCAGAAGAAAGTTCCACAAGGAAGAAGTGCAACAGAAGAAACTGTTAGCAAAGAACTTATGGTTGCATTTAGCCAATTCAACTGTAAAATGATGAGACCTTGCCGCTAATCTAGTACTGTGTGTAAAATTCATAAAGTCTAGGTACCATAGAGGAAAGTAATATTTATTTTGTGAATACTAAAATGTGGCAAAAATGTTCAAAAGGTAGGATGGGGAAAGGCCGATCTTCACTCTGTCTTGTCTTAAACTTAACAAGCCACAATTACTGACTCAAACATACCACAGTATTCTTTACACTAAAACTGCACATTCTTACTTACCATTCTTACTACAGCCACCATCATATCTTAGTCTCTAGGAAGTCTTAACTAGTTCCCATATGTACAATATGTATCATAGAGGCAAATTCTTCAGGAAAATTACCATGAAAGTATTTATAGAAGTCTTTTCTATAAATACTTTCAGGGAATCTTCGTTATGGCATACTGAAACTGAGATTCCAGGTCAGAACCAGTAACATTGCAGATTTGTTTGTAGACATTAAAATTAAAATGGCAAAAGTTATATACTTGAGTGTGGAAATATGATACTGAGATGGCATTACTAACTAACACTATAAAAGACCATTGCTTTACAGCTTTTAACGTACAAAATTTGAATATATATTCCCAGTCTGTACAATGGTAACGTTATATAGGTACTATATTTGAATGATGTAAAAAGCAATAATCATTGATAGAAATTTTTTGCTTGAGAAGGTTGTATACCATTTGAAATTCCCAGACATAAAAACAGTGATACCTTTAGAAAATTCATCTGCACCATCTGATCCCACATGCTCTCTGTAGTTGAGCTGTTTAACGCATGCTGTATCAGACAGTGTTCCTCTAGAAAGAGAAGACACAGTTTCAGTTCCTGAGCAGAGGCTTGCTTCCCTCATTGCTCCAATAGTAACCTCTTCAAATCAAGGGTCAAGTGTTATTTTTCCTACATCTCCTCATAATCTGCACTTCTTTCCTCCTCCCCCTACACTCATTCAACAACCCCATTCAATAACCTTCTCCCTTGAGTGGCTCTTAACCTCTTCAAGTCAAGGGTCATGTGTTATTTCTCCTACATCTTCTCATAATCTGCACTTCTTACCTCCTCCTCCTACACTCGTACAACAACCCCATTCAGTAACCTTCTTCCTTGAGTGGCTCTTAATCTCTTCAAGTCAAGGTTCACATGTTATTTCTCCTACATCTCCTCATAATCTGTAATTCTTACCTCCTCCTCCTACACTCGTACAAAAACCTCATTCAATAACCCTCTAATTTGAGTGGCTCTTGGGTCATAGGGGATCAATTAATTAAAAAGAATAATGATAACACCTCATCCTAGAACTGAGTGAAATGTAATAATCTGCTTTGATATTCTGGAATCGTCTAATATTTTTCCACTTTTTCCTTTGAATGTTTCTAAATTACGTTATTTTGTTTTAATATTTGTAATTTTTATAAGGGCAAGGGAGATAGGGGAAGGCAGTGGGTTGGCTTGGCCTGAGAGTCGTTTTCCTAGCCACCAGGTGCAGATCCATGCCTTACAGGATATCAGTGCCTGACCCTGACATGTAAACATGTTTATCCTTGCTGCGCTTAGGATGTTCACATCTATAAGCTCCCACTTGAGAGGGTAAAAAGTAGAAAGTTTTTTTACATCCTAGAAAGAATGCAGAACCCATGTTTGGAGGAAACGCCAAAGCCACACACCCACTTGCCAAAAGTAATTGGCAAAGTCCAGTGTTGAATAAGAATAATGTTCAACTCCTTAGTGAAGGGTTTGCTTTCCTCATTGATTCAAAAAACACTTTAGAAGGACCGGAAACCCAATCTGAAACTGGTAACAAGGGATAAAACTCTGCTCCTGTTAAATACGACTTTGAGTTGTTGGTTCGATCACTCTTCAGTTATATCTCGAGAACGGAGTTATTTTGTGTTATAATTGGTGGTATAGACTGACTTCCTTCAAGTGAGCTAGCAGAGACATTTTATGACATGACTGGTCTGGAGGACCTCTTCAAGAAAATAATTTTTGAAAAGGTCCTCTAGATTAATCATGTCATATCATAAAATCATTGACATATAAGGGCAATCAGTTAAATATGTTTTACAGTATATGCTTCCAGATATGCTGTGCAGGAAGCTCATTACATTTTTAGGAGGAACAATTGAGTGATAAATGTCCTATTCTGATTCTTGGTAGGATCAGTGTAAGGTATACCTATATCAAAACCTATCAAAATGAGGCTCATTAGATAGTATAAAACAAGGGTGGATAAACTTTAGCAAATATGGACTTACATGCCTGCATTAAGATGAAGTGTCAAAAGGATGGTTTTTCCCATGACACTATCTTCTTTAACTATCTTCACTCTTTGGAAAAAATTATTGTTTTAAAAAGCAATGAATAGAATTGTATTAAAGCCTAAACATAAAATGAAAGTAAAATTTATACACTTTTTTTCTTGAAAATTTACAACAAAAATATTAAACACTATTTATAAGAATGTTTATTTACAAGAATAATTTTATATTTACAACATTCTAAAAACAAATACAATTGTATTAAAACTAACACAATGTAATATTTATCATTTACCAATTTATCAAAAAATAAATATGAAAACAATTTTTTATTCATAAATTTATAAACATTTATGAAATTATTAAAATAAGTGAACTATTATTTTTATTTTATAAAGTTTGAATCAATTGGCATTAGTCAATGTTTGATAATCATTCTGATAAATAATATAACAAATAGTGTAAATAAACAATCTAATTACTAATTCAATGAATAGTGTCTAATATTTTTATTGTAAATTCTTAAGATAAAAAAAAAATGTATAAATTCACTTTCATCATATGTTGAGGTTTTATTCCAATTCTCATAAGAATGTGATGTTGATTTTTTTTCTTTTCAGTATCTGTCTATATTTCTGAGATGAGGTATTATGTACACTATTTACATTATTTTGACTATTATCCTCATCTTTGTCACAATATTTATTACAATATTTCGGCCTTTCAGTATCTGTCTATATTTCTGAGATGAAGTATTATGTACACTATTTACATTATTCGGTCTATTGTCCTCATCTACCGCAGTGAGTGAAATAAAGGATTCAGTTCGACATTCCAACCACATAAGGCCGGAGCATAACAACGGCCAAAACATTGTGATAAATATGGCAACAAAGCTAAGGACAATAGTCCAATAATGTAAATAGTGTTTCTTCTTTTCATTCTATTTCACTCCCAGTAGCCCATTGCGTCTTAGTGGCATCATTGCCTTGCTTGAGGTGAATTGAAAAAAAAAAAAATGGCATTAAAACAAGAATCAATCAATTGTTTTGGTAACCGTTGCTAAAATAAGGGAGATAACTCTTTTAATTTGATAATTAGGAACAAATGAATAGATTTTCTGGTGGGGATCTTTAGCAAAACTATTATCAAATATCGGGTAGTGAACTTTATTCATTCTTACACGTTTAGATGCAGCAACTGAAATGCTTGCAAAAAGATGAAGATCCCAGTATCTCGGCCAATACGTACAACCCCAAAGAAACTAGACTCAGTCCAAAGAAAAAGAACTTGCAACAGCAGCTGGAATTGTCTTCAGGTAAGATAGACATTGTCTGGAATTGTCTTCAGGTAAGATTGACATTGTCTGGAATTGTCTTCAGGTAAGATAGACATTGTCTGGAATTGTCTTCAGGTAAGATAGACATTGTCTGGAATTGTCTTCAGGTAAGATAAACATTGTATATTTGTGTGTCAGGAGATAAAAAACAAAACAAAAAAAAACAAGAGAGAAAAGCGTGAGTAAAATAAAGACAATTTTGAAAGCATTAACAGAGAGCAATATCTACATCCACAGCTGTTGATAAAGATGAATATACATTGATCCTTTTGAACCTTTTACTTAATCTTTGTTTTCTTTATGAAAACTTTTTGTCAACCATGTCTCTTTGCCTTTTTTAGATGTTATTCATTCAGCAACATTCTGAGAATGGTGATCAGATATTTTTTTTTCTTTCTTTGCGAGTTCCTTTCTTATTTAACTTTTTATTTTAGGAGAATTAGCAAACATGGTATTGGGATTTTCCCAATTATATTTGGTAACAAAAATATTGTGACGCCGACAAGAAGAAAGGAACACAAACACAGTTGAAAATGTTTGAAAAAACTTGTATTGTAGGAAAAGAGAGGAAAGTTTCATTGCAAACAGTCGGGTTTGCGGAACTTATCTGAAAGATGCGTCCTTTTAACAGTTTTATATTTCCTGTGTCATTTTGGCTGGGTTGAAGAAAATAGAGTCTTGACTTCTGTGCTTCAGTTGCTGTCTAAATCCACACACATATCCTGGTGTTTAGATGACGGAGAGTGCAGGCGGGGAACATATTGTCTCTGAGGGTCCCAATAAGCAAAAGAGGAAGAGAGTTTGTAAAAACTGCTCTCGTGGGGGTTTGGTGAAAATCTAAAAATGTAGCCTGTGATTGGTTGTTTTTCATCCAATCACAGGGCACCCAGTTAGCGACTCTGTAATAATTTCAATAATGGGTTTTCATGCAAAAAAATCCCGAAAAAAACCAAGTGCATAAGGTTGATATTTCCCATGACATCACTTTTACTTTAACTACTCCTCAGGAATGTTTATTGTTTTAAAAGCAATGATTAGAATTGTAATAAATCCTAAACATGTGATAAAAGTGAATTTTACATTATTTTTTTTTTGTTCTTGAGAATTTACAAGAATAATTTTATATTTACAACATTCTAAAAACTAATCCAATTAAGATTAATGTAATGAAATAAAGGGTGTTCCAATAACCTGGACCAATTTTAAATATGGTTTAAGTTTAAGCATCTATTAATTTTTTGCTTTTTTTTTTTTTTCAGATTTAACAACTTAAGTCTTTGACAATTTTAACCATGGAAAGATTAACAATTGAACAATGTGTTAAAATTTTCAAAGCCTATTACGAAAATGGATGTTCAAACAGAAATGCATTTTGTGCACTTTGCGATTTTTTTTTTTTTTTTTTTGTCAGCATAATCGATCAAACGAGATTCCACTTGGAAACATTGTAACATTGTTGTGGAGAGGTTCAATTCCTGCATGTCTTGACAAATACATTCAACTGGATTTTCGGCCACATTCTCGTGCACTGTAGCAATGTTTTCAGCTGAACAGCGTAAACGAGTACGCAATAGTGTTTTTGCACCTGCCACCGACCCAATTTGTTTGAATTTACAAACAATTTTTCCAATTGCACTCTTGAAACTTTAACATGTTGTTTATTAATCTTTCCATGGTTGAAATTGCCAAAGACTTAAGTTGTTAAATCTGAAAGAAAAAGAAGAAAATCGTTAGACGCTTAAACTTAATTCACATTTAAAATCAGTCCAAGTTATTGGAACACCCTTTATTTATCATTTAACAATTTATAAAGAAATAAATAAGAAAACATTTTTTTTATTCAAAAATTTATAAATATTTACTAAATTATTAAAATATGTGAATATAAATAGTATAAATAAACAATCTAATAAATAAACTGTTTATTATTTTTGTTTAAATTTAATTTATATCAAAAGGAAAAAAAAATTCAGTTGGGGGTTTGTGCTTCCCAGGGCCCCCCCTTTGATCAAAATAAAATATACTTGTCCAAGTACCCTGGCTAATGTAGTTTCAGAACATATATAATTATGGGAGAATATTTCCAAAACCTATAGATTTAATATAAGTAAAAGTTTGTCACTTAGCTGATTGATGCTATCTTCAGCATTCTGACTCCAGAGTTGTGTAGATGGACCTGTCTGGCCATTCTTCAGGGGCTATCAGCAAGTTATTGCTTATATTTTTTGATATTTTTTTTTTTTATGCTTAGTAGCAGCATGGTCCAGCATTGCCCGTGCTTGATTCAAAAATTGGACGACTCATACAGCAATTGCTATCACTTGACTTAAAATATTTTTGGCCTTCCTTGCTTTTAAAGGAGTGCCCTTTGCCGTGCTGATGTTGCTACCTGCCTTACTTTTTGCCTATCTCACACTGCAAATTTTTTCTAAGCTCTATACTAAACATTAAATCTGTTACGAAAAAAGAACTAAACAAAATGAACACAAAACGATCAGCTTTAAAAAAGGACTTGTAACTGGAAAAACTGAATGAAAAAAGAATGTTAACAACAAATACCTTTTCACACCCAACCCAGTTCTGCGGAATCAGAATCAATGTTGAGTTTAAGCAAGCGAATGAGCCAATTGGAGTAAAGTGCCATGCAGATTTTAATTTTTCCCACTTGTGACGAATGCAGATATTGATTTTTTTTTGCATGCTAGTTAACATTCATGTCAGTCAGCTGTTGGCTCTCATGCTGGCCAATAGAATCTTCCTGCCTATTCATGGCAGCCAGCTATTGGCTCTCACTCTGGCCAGTATAAAATGGCTGCAAACTACATGAAAACTGCCGTAGAAGCATGAAAAAATCAATTATTTCCACTATTGATGGGAGTTGGGAAATGCAAAGTCGGTCTTGGCCTTCCTGCTAACTTGGAGCACAAGCATGTAAATTTTGGTGCAAATCCGTTAAAAATTGCGGCTGTGCATTAGTTACACTCACACACACACACACATCCAGCCTTTTATAGATAGAGATCATTAGTGTAAGTTTTTCCGTATTCTTTGTGTTCGTGTGTGCATTTGCATGTGTGCCGACATGCGTTCGTCTGTGTGTTTACATGTGTTTTCCCATCTGTGTGGATGTGTTTATGTGTAGGTTATCATGATCATTTGTCATTTTCTTTGGGTTTTTTTAAATTTTATGTTTGTTCTTTAACTTTTTCTCTTGTTTTTCCTTTTTCCTCTCTTTCGATAGTCCCCATTTGTAGCAAATTATTAAAATTATGTAATTAGTATGTATGGAAGATTAGGAAAAGAATAACATTATTTCCTTTGGCTAACCTTGTAATTTTTAGTATTTAAACTTCGATGCACACAAAAAACAGCTTTTCTCATTTTTAGTCATCCTTACTTCAATCGACTTCTGAGATGACCCAAAATCTAAGCAGTTTCACTAATCATGACATAATCTAGTTTTGGATGATAAAACAAAAAAAAAAATTTTAAAACCAGTTTTAAGTATGCAAAAATATTTTTCTTTTCTTTTTTTTCTTTTAAAATGATTACTTTGTGTACTATTTTATTAAATTTATTGCAATGCATTTAAATTAAAACTATGTAACATGACATCTGTGCTTTTGACCATAAACTGAATTCTTTTCTTTTAAATGCCAATAATTTGATCCCTGTTGTTAACGATAATGCACATGAATAATTTGAATTTGCAGGTGACAATGAAATTGAATCTCCAAAGAAACGAACTTCAAAGAAAACCTCAGATCCAAAGAAGAGGAAGTCTCGACCACAACCTTCACCTGAAGACGATCAGACACGAAATGAAGATGAGTAAGTTAGTGATTTTGAGTTGTGAATGATTTAATACTTTAAATGAAGGATGATTATGAATGATTTAATGCTTTAAATGAAGGATGATTGTGAATGATTTAATGCTTTAAATGAAGGATGATTGTGAATGATTTAATACTTTAAATAAAGGATGATTGTGAATGATTTAATACTTTAAATGAAGGATGATTGTGAATGATTTAATACTTTAAATGAAGGATGATTGTGAATGATTTAATACTTTAAATGAAGGATGATTGTGAATGATTTAATACTTTAAATGAAGGATGATTGTGAATGATTTAATACTTTAAATGAAGGATGATTGTGAATGATTTAAAACTTTAAATGAAGGATGATTGTGAATGATTTAATGTTTTAAATGAAGGATGATTCCTTTACAGAACAGAAAATTGCTTTGTTGCTTGTTAGTCAAAGGTCACAAATGATAATTTACTTTTTGGTACCGACTAATTCCTTCATAAATATTGTCTTAAATTCTGAAAGGCACCAATACTCTTATTCCATGGGTTATTCTGATCAGTTTTCACAGACTTGTTTTTATTGTATTCTTTTCTAATCACACTATTATGCTCATGTTGGCGATCATGTTCACAATGTTTTTGTCTTTGTACCCACTGGTTTTCTTCAGGTGTCCATTGAAATTTAAAACCAAACACTTTATTCAATCCATAGGGGTAGATTGTACTCATTTTGCCTTCCATGTTTCAAGGACTTTTCCTATCAGTTAATGTGTACCTGTCTTATTCACCTTTGTGCCACTTGGCCATTTGTTCCACTGAATCAACAAGGCCTCTGATTGGAAGATTAGAGGTTTTGAGGAGTGTGGAATGACCTCTTAACTGGTGTTGTTCCTAGGTTTGCTCTGACTCTGGGTGGTAGCACCTGTTAGGTTTCCAGTTACAGGCAAATAGTTAACCCCCCACAAACAAAAATCAACAGTGCATTTTTATAATAAAATGATCACCAATACATTTTTATAGCAAAATTACCAACAATACATTTTATGATCTACAAACTATATATCTAAAAAAACACCATGAAAATATAAAATTATGTATAAGCTATCTGTAGTTGAAAGCCTAAAATTGCATGTAGCATATTTAGATTTCTGCATTAAATAACCCATAGAGCTGTTGATGCTGTTAAACAAATTCAACCAAACATCAATTGAATCAGAATATGTGACTTTTCAGTACTACCAGACCCAGGGATTGAACTCACAATTTCCAGGGAACCATGTTTTAATACATTGATGGCCAACATCAAGATAACTCATAGTGGGCAGTTTTTATTATGATGCTGGCCACAAGTTATCTCATTTTTGTGGTCCTGCCACCAAGACTGCAATCATGACTATTTTTGTTGTTTTTAAAGCAAATAACTCTTATTTTGCATCTAAGCCAGAGATGAAAAATTACATTGGCAATTAAAGTGAACATTTTATGGGCAAATCTATTGAAAATATAACACGTAAACATAGCATTTGAAAAATTTGCTATTGCTTAATTTGACTATTATAAAGTTGGCATTTGAAGTTAGATTTTGTAATTGACCTCTGACAGTCCACATGTTAATAATATAGACTTGTATACAAATCTTGGTTGTTATGCTCATACCATTTCAGCTGTTTTAATATCCTGCTTTCTTCAGGTGTCCTTTCAACTAAACCCTTTATTCAATCTATGAGGTAGATCGTTCTATTGTGTACATGGACAAGGCCTTATTCAGTGCCTGCTGACTGTCATCTCTTCCATTGTGTGTGTGTGTGTGTGTGTATGTATGTGTATGCACATGTCGATCAAACTGGCCTCCAACATTGTTTTGAGCACTGAGAAGCAGTAGGCTTCTATTTTTATATCTGTAAGGGGGATCCAAATTTTAATTTCACATAGAGGTGTGAACTTTTTGAATATAAGATTTTCATTAGTTAGAAAGTAATTTCAGACTGGCTCATGAAAATCTTTTTCTTGAATTTGCGGGAGTGTTGAAGGGAGTTATTATTATTTTTTAAATGGTTCAAAATAACACATGGTAGGTTTACAAGTACATCCACAAGTATTTTGGCAGTATTTGCCCTTCATCAAACAAACCTTCTGATGGAATTTTATTGGTTGAAAAATATATATAGGATTTAATTCTTATACTACCTGATCTATGGATTGAACTCGCAACCACTTCATGAGAGTAAAACGTATAATCAACTCCTATATATTTTTTTTTAATCCAACACAAGCAATGTGTTAATGCCACTAAGGTGCAAGGGACTACTGTGAGTGAAAGAGAATAAATAGACTTTAGGTGGAACTGGGAATCCAATCCTAAACAAGAAACAAGGGATAAACCTCTACTCCTGTTCAGATCAGGGAGGGGCGTGAACTGGATGATAGGTGAACCTAAAATAAAATATCAGTGTTTAGGCAGAGATGTTAGAAATATAGAGTTGAAGTAGACTTTAGAAGGAATTGGAAGCACTATGCTATACAAGAAACAAGGGATAAACCTCTACTCCTGTTCAAAAGACCAGAGAGGAGTGTGAACTGGATGATAGGCAAACATATTTACTCCTATTGATGAGAAAAAAATCCACTATGCCACGGCTCTAAAGAACTTTTGAAGTCTCAATGTCGTGTATAATAAGATAAGAACAATAGTTCAAAATAATACAAGGATATTGACAATTACTTGTCTCTGAAATGAAATACTAAATTATATCCTCAGTTTGCTTATAATAAAAAGGGAATTTGATAATTGTATATATTAATAATATCATGCAATTCTTTTTTACTTTCAGAGATCTTCTTATATCTTCCCCAAAAGAAAAACCCCAAAAGTCATTATTCAGCAGGAAAAATAAGAGTAAGCATCCAAAAGATGAAGATCAAAATGAAGAAGTTGTGCCACCAGAGGTGAGTCTTTCAGTCACTGTCGGATTGGCCTTAAATGATATTCATCTAATCCTCTCCCAAGTGTTCCAAGAAGTAGGACTTGAACATAAACCTTTCCAAAATAGAAACTATGATCTAGAATTGGAACGAAAGCAATGATGGTACATATCCTGAGTTTGTCATGAAAGTTTACAAGGTTATAATTAATAAACACTAAACACTTTAGGAGAAATAGCAAAAAGAGAAAACTTGTTAAGAGCTACAAAGAACAGGAAGTTGTGGAGAGCTATGATTGTTTACATCCTGAAGCGACACAACACAAAGGAGGGGAAAAAGAATCTATCAACAATAATGTGGATAGAACTGGAATGAAAACAGTGGCACCAACCTTGAATTCATTATAAGAATTCATCATGTAGAATTAATAAATACTAAATATGAAATACCTCAGTGTATTGATAGATTATAATAACTTATAATGAAAGTTAATGAAATTGAATATAGAATATATGGCTGTGTTAAGGGTAGTTTTGCCCAACACTGCAAATTTCTATGAAACATTAATCTAAAACCTTTTGTTTTTAAATAGCCTTAGGTTGAGACTTTTATATGGATGTCATGCATGAAACCTAACCCATTCAGATATGTCTAAAATATCAACAGTATACGATCACTTTTTCAGACTGAGAGCTAAAAATGTCTTTGAGTGAATGAAACCTGTAGGTCTTAGCAAGGACCATCCTTCTTCAAACCTTTTGTATTTGGTTGATTCTGTTTAGCGGCTTATCAACCACTATGGGTTATTTAATGCTGAAAATTTTAACAATTTTATGGCTTCAACTAAATATATTTTGAATGCAATTGTATGCCTTCAACTACAGATAAAATGTATTGTTGGTCATTTTGCTATAAAATGTATTATTGTTGTTTTTTTTTTTTTTTTTTTTTTTTAAAATGTGTTGCTGGTGCAGTATTTACATTAGTCGGACTATTGTCCTCATCTTTGTCGCTATATTTGTCACAACGTTTCGGCCTTTATCCACTGTGCCATGTGTCCTCAAGGATACATGGCACAGTGGATAAAGGCGTTGGTTAGATCAAGTGACAGACCCAAAGAAGGTGAGTTCAATTCCTGGTTAAGGCAGTGGAGAACTTTCAGAGGGAAAATTAGCAGGAGATAACTGATAACTGACATCCATCAAACATGGCACCTGGAACTAGAACAGTCTACCCCAGTGATCGAAATAAAGGGTTCAGTTCGAAATTCCAACCACCTGAAGAAGGCCGGAGCGTACAACGGCCGAAACGTTGTGACAAATATGGCGACAAAGATGAGGACAATAGTCTGACTAATGTAAATACTGTACATAATACCTCATCTCAGAAATATAGACAGACTCTGTGTTGCTGGTATTTTTACTATTAAAATGTATTTTTATACTTTTATAGTGTTTTTTGTTTGGGGGTTTCGCTATTTGCTCATGGCAGGACCTAACAGATACTACCACTTCCGATCAGGGAGGACTTGGGAACAACAGCAATTCAGAGGTCATTCCATGCTCCTCAAAACCTCCAATCTCCCAATCAGAGGCCTTGCTGCTGGGTGTAGTTTATCATCATACCCAGGATTTCAAACCTTGTGGACTTTCAACAGCAGCAACAATTAAAAAGGATAGCACATGAGAAAATAAGATAATCAAGATGATGACATTCCACAATACTTTGAGCAAAAGGTTAGGAAGGAAACCTCTTATCAGTATTGAAAAGAGCAATAACAGGGCACTTGTGAAACATATTTTTCTGAAAAACTGTTTTACTAGTAAGATTTTATAAGTTTCAACTGAATGTAGCACTGGCTGCTCAGTCAGTGACTGTTTCCTTATAAGGAAACAGCTAATATAACCATTATGTTTACAGGTTTGTAAGAGACAAGTAAAGATGACAAGTTATGTTGTGGGATTGCATGTCTGAACTTTGCTTAGTTTATGTCTCCATTTGGCATGCAAAAGGTTCACAACTAAAAACTTAAAAATAACACAATAAGATGACACTTGAAGCAAAAATGTGAAGATGCTTAAAATATGCCTCAACTGAAAAGAATTTCATTTGACAATTCATAGTCAATATATAATTGTTTTACCATGAAGTGATATTTATTGTTTTACCAATGAATGACTGATAGCTGCTGCTTTTAACTTTTTTGTAAATATATGGCAAGATGTGCAGGTATCATCACAATAATGGTGGTGGAATCAATGAGCCGAGTTCAAATTCCAGCCTAGTTAGTTGTCGTTGGGAAAGGCATGAATCCATCTTTTCTTCCCCAGTTATGAGTTAAATAGCAGGACAGACTGTGCTGTCTGCCAGTCTAGGAGAAAGACTACATCAATTTTTTTTTTTTTTAAACACTATTAGCCCTTGTAAAGCCACAAAGAAACAAGGGGTTACAGGGTGTGGAAGAATTAGGAACAGAAACATTAATAATGAGCGGCAAGAGAAAAGAGTACTCAGGAGATCAGTAGATAGCAATTGACATTGCATTTCAATGTTTGAAGTTAGCTGGAAAGAATGGACCTAGAAGAGAATTCTACAAGCGAGAAATACAAGAAAAGATACTGTTAGCATAGAAATACATCTAGCCAGCTCAACAGTAAATTGTTGAGATGCTGACATCACTCTAGGACTGAACTTAAATTTAAAATGTCTGGGTACTATAGCAAAGTATTTATCAAGGAGCTCAAGATAAATAACGGTTGGCACCAGACATTTTGTGGCAGCAATATTCTAATTTAAAACTATGGAGAAGGTAGTGGGAAATCACTTTACTATCTTACGTAAGAAGGCATAGCAGTTTATAAATAATAATAACTAGAAGCATGGCCTGGCGTTGCCCGTGCTTGATTCAAAAATTGTACGACTCATACAGCAATCGCTATCACTTGACTTAAAATATTTTTGCTCTTCCTTGCCTTTAAAGGATTGCCCTTTGCCATGCTGATGTTGCTACATGCCTTACTTCTTGCCTATCTCACACTGCGAATTTTTTCTAAGCTCTATACTAAACATTAAATCTGTTACAAAAAAAGAACTAAACAAAATGAACACAAAACGATCAGCTTTAAAAAAGGATTCGTAACTGGAAAAACCAAATGAAAAAAGAATGTTAACAACAAATACATTTTCACACCCAACCCAGTTCTGCGGAATCAGAATTGTTGAGTTTAAGCAAGCAAATGAGCCAATTGGAGTAAAGTGCCATGCAGATTTAAATTTTTCCCCACTTGTGACGAATGCAGCTATCGATTTTTTTTTTTTTTTTTTTTTGCATGCTAGCATGCTAGTTAACATTCGTGTCAGTCAGCTGTTGGCTCTCACATTGGCCAATAGAATCTTCCTGCCTATTCATGGCAGCCAGCTATAGACTCTCACTCTGGACAGTAGAAAATGGCTGCGAAGTACATGAAAACTGCCGTAGAAGCATGAAAAAATTGATTTCCACTATTGATGGGAGTTGGAAAATGCAAAGTCGGTCTTGGCCTTCTCCGCTAACTTTGTGCATGTAAATATTGGTGCAAATCCGTCGAAAATTGCGGCCATGCATTCATTACACACACACACACACACACACACACACACATCCTGCCTTTTATAGATTGAGATAATAAAAGATCTGTGGAGAGCCAATGAAGGGGCATGTCAATTTAAAAAAAGAAATTATATGGCAAAAAGTTTATTGATTTGTTTAATATGCCAGAATTATATGTCATGTTATCTTAATAATGACATTATATATATATATTAGCTCTTTTATATTCATTTGTTGTATTATTTATTACTTATGGGCAACAGGAAAAAAATTATCTTTTTTTTTCTTTACTTTTTTCTTTTAAGACAACACTTGATTCTCCAAAACCTGAGACCAAAAGAAATTTGCTAAAGAAAAAAAAATCTCGGAAAAAAGGTAAGGAATTAATATATATATGTATATATATATATATATATATATATATATATATATATAATCAATTCACCCCTAGTAAGGTAATAATACCACTAAGATGCTAGGGGCTACTGAGAGAGAAAGTGAATGAAAAAAGACTTTAGAAGGAACCAGAAACCTAATCCTAAACAGGAAACAAGGATTAAACTACTACTCCTATTCCAAAAAGTGAGGAAGAGTGTGAATTGGACAATTGACTGAAAAAAGTAGAAAAAATTTCAGAGTTTAGGCAGAAACATTAGAAGTATAGACTTTTAAAGGAACCAAAAATATAATCGTAAGCCAGAAAAAAGGGATAAAAATTGTACTCCTGTTCAAAAGACCAGGTAGGAGTGTGGAGACACACACACACACACACACACACATATATATACATATATATTTTAAACCCATAAAAATATACTCCAGAAAATCACATAAGTTACCTCCCTTGTATTGTATAATGGGTAAATATTTTTAATTTTGAGGTGTTCATGCACACATATCCAGAGTAATTCATCACCTGAAGATGATCTCAGACAATATTGAAAGTACCTGGGGAAAATAAAGATTATTTGAAAGAAAATTTTGGAATTTTTCTTGATCAATTTTCTACAGCTGCCAAGAAATTAATCCGTGGACTTGAAAGAATTAAAATTAGAATAAATAGACATAATACATCTAAATTATTTAACCAAACATGCTTGAATGAAAATATGCCTAAATATATATATATAAATATATATATATATATATATATATATATATATATATATATATATATATATACACAAATATTGATTAAATCTGACAGAATAATGAAATAATGAAGAACTAAGAAAATGTTTATAAGTTTAACATGTTTTGCTTTTATTTTAGTTTCATTTGATATTTTTGAAAATATGTCATGGAAGAGAATGTTTTGGTACTTTGTATTCTGTGCTGTTTGTCTTTCATTGGTCAGCTAAATCTTATGTGTTTGTCTTGTGACAATGTATTTTTGTGTGTTTGAATGCATGCATCTGTTTTATAGTGGGCATTTTGATGTCTCTCTGGTAGTGTCTGTGTGTGTTTAATTCCTGAAGATGGTAGTGGAGAGAAATGGGGAAGGTGTGCATATCAAATTTTTAGTTAGCCTTGCAGTTGATGATTGAATCACTGTGTGTGTGTGTTGGCTGTAGATTAAATGTACGGGATTAATTTTGGGGTTAATTTTATCATTAAGGAAAAAATCATGTGTATTGTGAAATTTTTGGTGTGTAGTGAGGATGGGTATGTGGGTGTGTGTTTTGGCTTAATTCTATCATTATTATTATTATTATCATCATCATCATATATAATTTTTGGATGCATTGGGAAATATTTGGGTGTTGAAGAAAGGTACCTTAATGTGTTTTTCAGTCATGTGGTCAACATGATAGCATTATAAAAGTTGATGAATGAAAAATGGATCTTATATTCTTTAAGTATGGGCTTTATGTATGGTAATGATATCCATTTCCATGATTCTGGAATGCTTATTTATTTAATTATAAATATATGTTATATAATCAATGTGAATGTCAGTGTGTCACTATGTTACCGTAGCTCAACATCTCATACCATTTTGGGATCAGGCCGACTCTGTAAGTAGATTAAAAACATTCTGGGCCTAGTCCAGACCTGCAATTTTGAAATTTTAGATTCCCAAGTTTTCATTATTGTGATTATTTTTTTTTTTTTTTTTTTCTTTTAGGTGATTTTTGTAACAATTTCTTTTGTACGATAACAATTTTTCTGACTTGTGAATAAATTTGGGAGTAATCAAAATTAATTGTGGAATCCAGCGAAAGTCACCCATGAAATAAAAATAATTGTTTTTATAGAAAGTAAGGACCTACGTACATCAAATTGTCTTTAAATTAAGTGGCAGCAGAAGAATTATCATTGAACTTTTAAAAGGCAAGCTTAAATATTAATGCAATACTTAAATGCAGTGATCAATTTTGAGTTCTTCTGTAGTTTATTGTTGCCTGTGAGTTTCAGGCAATGACTATGGTAGTTGTCATTGTTGTTGTTGCTCAATAGCTGTTGTGATCATATATATAGTTATGGAGTCAATACAGGATCATTTCCTCAGTGCTGTTTGTAAAAGCTTTCAGCTTAAATTTTGGGGTTTGGATAAATGATAAATGAGATTAACCCCACAACAAAGAATCCCCTAACCTTGCAAAAAGGGGAGAAACTATTTAGGTTTATAAATGTATTTAAGAGACTTCCTTAATATCAAATGGAAATCTGGAGATTTTACAAAAAGGAGGTCATAGATATAACGATACTACAATAAGGAAGGGAAATCAACATGCAATGTGGAGAAGAAATAAATAAAAACAGTTCTGTTTAAAACGTTTGCACGAACCATAGTAAACACGAGCCTTGAACCTTCAGTTACAACAAAACTGTTATGAATTGTACCATTGTGTGTAGGTCGACAATCTTAGAACTAACACAAATCATACCAAGTGAACTGAGGAACTCTGTCTTGCGCTCAGCTTAAGTATAGCAAAGTAAATGGCATTGGTGGCATGGAATACTTGTTGATTATTTCTGACACCTGCCATAATAAATGCATGCTAATCAGGACTGTTTTTCTTTGCTATATTCCACTCTGGTCTCCTAACCATAACACTGATAATTTGGGGCTGTCTTTTTTGCTGAGTACTTCTTCAAAATGTAGACATTGTAAACTCTCTAGCTTCCTGGGGCGAGTGGGCTCCTGAGAGGTTGTCATCATTATCTGTTGGGGTAAAGAAAAGACTGTCAACTGGAAAACTCACCCAGTCCGGACACCGGTAGGATTGACAGATCGATAGCTCTTTCTCAATTCGGTGGGTGGTGGTGCATGGCCGTTCTTAGTTGGTGGAGTGATCCGTCTGGTTGGTTCCAATAACGAACGAGACTCCGGCCTGCTAACTAGTGCGCCGATATGTGTGTTGATTCAACGGCGGGCTCGGCGTTCATCACAGCGCCCGGGTCTGGGTCGGTTTTCTCACGCACTTGGATAATTTTTCTTCGGCAGATCGCACGCAAAACAAACTTTTTTTCGGGGTACCTGATTATCTCTTTCACTACATTATCATTGCCTGAATGGACAATGTCATCATTGCGATCATCGCCCAATGGCTGTGATCATCATCTGCTTCAATTAATGACAATACTGTTTCATTGTCATCCATTGACTCACTCTAGTAAGGAAGGGTGCAGACTTTTTTTTTTTTTTACATGGTACAGTATACCCATTAATTAAGAGAATTATGATCCTAGTAATTTTTTTTACTAACAGGGTGTCCCCTTTCTTGTCGGCTTTGTTCTCTGGCTTGAGTTTTGGTGAGAGTGTTTTGTCAATACTCTTCACTCAAACTCCTATACTTCTTCCTGGATTGAACCCTACTCCCTAGCAGCAATTTGCTTTGCACTTCTGTGGGACCATTCTGCAATGCTGTTTCAAGATGGTGTTTATGTGCATTGAAAGCCTAAGTAGAATTTCCATCTATCAGCAGAACTTCTGAAGGTGTTACTGTTGAATTCTGTATCATTATCGATCAAAATTTCATCAGGTTGTCCCCTCTCTCGGAATACCACTTCAAGCTACAGCATCACATTCACAGAATCTTGTTGGTGTAAAGGTTGCCAGATAGCAAGTCACATTGGCCGAAGTCTGTGTCACATGCCAGACACCTCCAGTTGTCCTTTGTGCTAATGGATTGGTGCTCGATCAATTTTTCAGCACTCCATACAAGTTTTGATGGCCAATCTAACAGCTATTTTAGATTTGGCACAGGTGACTCTTTTAATGAAGTACATGGTCTATGTAACTGCTGGATGCCCACTGTATGAATGTTTTTCTACAATTTGGATGGCCTCAATTTTGCTTTTGACAGTGATGCAAATCGATTGCCTTGGGCCACCTATGGAATTCTAGTGTTTGGTTTGGCTTGACCAGTTTGACATCTATTGCATTCTTTCACTAAATTCAAGAAGGTTTCCGGCCTTCTCCAGTCATCATTTCATTTTCAGCCTTTTCTAATTACGGTTTGTGCATAATTTTTACCAAAAAGTTAATAATAACAATTCCATCAGAGTCTGTCTATATTTCTGAGATGAGGTATTATGTACATTAATTACATTATTCAGACTATTGTCTTCATCTTTTTCGCCAAAGGACACATGGCACAGTGGATAAAGGCATTGGTTAGATCCAGTGACAGGACCCAAAGAGTGTGAGTTCAATACCTGGTTAAGGCAGTGGAGAACTTTCAGAGGGAAATTAGCAGGAGATAACTGATAACTGACATCCATCAAACATGGCACTGGAACAGTTTACCTCAGTGAGCGAAATAAAAGGGTTCAGTTCAATATTCCAACCACCTGAAGAAGGCTGGAGTGTACAACGGTCGAAACGTTGTGATAAATATGGGAACAAAGATGAGGACAATAGTCCGAATAATGTAACAATTCCATATTGTAGTTGTTTGCATTGATATAAAGATATTTTAATAGTAACATTCTAAAAAAGTTTATTAAATAGTTAAACTGAAAACTGATAACATGAAAAATGTGTGTGTGTGTGTTCTTATTTTAGCACTTATGTGCTTCTGTGAGGAGTAAAAAGAAAAGTCTTGACAGAAAAATAAGTCAGGGAAATAATGTTATGGACAAAAAGTCACTGGAAAGAAATAAAGGAAAACGTCATGACTTCAACGTTTTAATTTTAATCAAGGTTTTTAAAAAAAAATAATTTGTTTATAAAAGAAATTATAAGAGCTTACTACTTCATCACCATTGGTCCCATGACTGGGTATGGGCATAGGACTAAACACCTGACCAGCTCCCTTCATATATCTCAGTTGCATGCCATTGTCTGAGTCTCTCTGTGAACAATCTTCCAGTCCACTCAGTGATGTTGTTAGCCCATTTTATTCCTTTGATGGATGGCAGGGAAA